GAGACTCTGGACTACCCACAAAGGATGAGAACTGGAGACCCTCTCAAAACCCTAATTCCTGAGAGCCAAATACCTCATCAGCTTCTTGTTCTCGTTATGAAGAAAACATTGAGATTTTGGTTAATATTGGCATGTATGACAAAAGCAACCTGTTTCTTTCACTTGAATTTCATCCTCCACCTACCCTGGTTCAAACAGGGTGGGCAGCATAAATCAGTTATGCAGAGGGTAAGGCTTTTAGGTGGATATATCCGTTTGTCTTCCAGTCTGTCTGTCTGTCAGTGCTGTCAGGTATGAGACATGTCTTGTCTGTCAGTGCTGTCAGGTATGAGACATGTCTTGGCATCCCTCTGTTTTGACAGGAGAAGGCCTCTCTGCAAACATGAGTGCTCCTGCAGCCCGGGCTTTCTTTCTCCCAAGCCCCTGAGAGACGCTGGGCAGTGCAGGGAGGTATTTTAGCAGATGTCACTATTATGATTTCTTTCCCAAAATCAGGAATTCTGTTGGATTATTTTGGGACTTTTTTTGTGGGTTTTGTTTTTTTGTTTGGGGTTTATTTTTTGGAGGCTTAATTTTTTTTTGTTGTTGTTTTGGTTTTGATTTTGTTTTGTTATGTTTTCTATTTTCTCCCCTTTCCCTGTCATTACACTGTGTCTCTTTCTTAGATGTTATTTTCACCCCTCTGCAGAAATTGTCCCAGTGGATGCCTGACTCTCGCTGGAAGAGAAACACTCTGCTGCCCACAAGTATGTGAGCTCAGATAAATTACTCACCCATCACTACCTTGGCTTCCCTATCAGGAAAAATGGTACAAAATGATTACAGAGTGAGGTCTGTTTAGCTAATGCTGATAAAGAGCCAAGGGACTGGACATGCAGCATGCAGTAGAAACACCTACCGTGTTGCTGTTGCTAACATGGTCACTTACATTCCTGTGTGTAAATAAATCTTGAAGGGGAAAAGCCTCTGGGATGCCCAGGAAACACACAAATGCTGGAAACGTCTCATCCATTAATGGTGAACTGGATTTCTGAGCTGGAGAGGAGTGAGTTGGGTTGTTCTGTTTTCACTCAGGTCTTTAGGTTTTGAGTTCAGGCTTGCTTGTGTGCCCTTTGGGACAGAGAGAATCTTTTTGCTCTGTGCTTCTGCCCTGCAGGCCATGGTGAATCTGCTAGAAGAAGGGGTGCCAGGGAGGGACTGGGAGGTTCATCCACCTCTCCATTCACCTCCCCACCCACCCACCTCTTGGCTGATCTGTCCACTCCCATGCAACAAACTGATCCAAAAAGCACCAAAACTATATTCCCCACTCCCCTTTTAGTTTTCTCAGCTTGTGAGCTGACAGCAGACTTGCCATAATTATCTCATTTTTACAAATTTAACAGGATCCCACCCTTCTTTTTTCGACAGCCCTCTAATGCTTTCCATGAACAGGGCAGGAAACGCAGCTCAATAGACATTTCCACAAACAGATGTTTAAATCATGATAATTGTTTTTACAAAACTAATCTATTTGGTCAAACATTACGCAGAATTACACTGGTGCTTTTTAAAAATGTAGTAGATCTGTGGTTGATGCGTTAGTATCAGTTAATTCTCATAAAAGGTCATTAATGGTGCCTACAGTGAAGTGCAGGACTGGACAGGCTGGGTCAGAGAGAGAGGGTATCTGCATGACTGGTGTGCAGTGCTCAGGGTCAGAGCATTACAAAATGATTCTCTTCAATTATTTACATCTTTCCATCAACTGCATGGTGGGCTTGGGCCCGTGCAAGGAGTTTCTGCTGCCCTTGCAGGGCTTTTCCTTTTCCTCAGGAATGGCATTCATTTGAATAAAAATGATCTGGTGGAATCCTGTCCCGTTTCCTGAGGCTGACAAAGGTTCAGGGATGAGAGTGGGTGGAACTGCTGCAGTCATTGGAGGCTGGGGAACCCTGTGCTCCCTGACATGGTAATCACTGCACATAAATCCCCTGAGCCCATCCTGCACGAGCCCCTCACGAGGAGATCTCACCGTCAGGTATAAAAACGAGGCTGGGAAGAAGCATTAAGGCTGCCAAATCCATAACAGATTTTATCCTTGTTATCATCATCATCAACAACAACAAAGAAGTTTAAATGCTTCTCTCTCCCTACCTCCAAACCTTCAGCGAGAGGAACCCAACTTAATTTTATTTTAATTTTTTAAATTCTTTTTATTTTATTTTGCTGATGGCAACAGCATCAGGCATGCTATATATCAGCCATGATATATAGCCTTATGAGCTGACTGTTGACAACTTATGGCTCTTTTGTCTGGGTTTGCCTACTTGGCTGTTTAATTACGTGAAGTGCCTGTTTTTCCGCGCCACGCTCATTCCATACCGGCGGCTGCTGGAATTCATGGATGGTGCTATGTTTACATCAGCCATCAAGCTGATATTTTCAGACACATTAGCATGACCATGCTGCAAAACATGTGGTAGGAGGAGTTGCTATTGCAGCTCTTTGGTTCATCTGCGTGAGCTAAATCAGCCAGAGTATTTCTTAGAATAAAGTGATAGAATTCTGTGATTCTATGGAAATGTTTCCCTTCCTAGTTTCAATACCTCCTTTCATCCCTTTCCTTTTTTCCTTTTTTTTTTTTTTTAATGTTAATGGAATTTAAATTATTGACCATAGCAATTTAACTTTTGATGAAAATAGCAATTAATAGAGAGGGCATTAGAGAGAAGAATCCTCGGACTTTATGAGTATGGATTACTGTAAGGCTACATAATAAAATGATTACAGCATGCATAAAAGGTCATTATTGCTGTAATAATCCTGTCCCAAAGTAGCTTTTTCATTCTGCAGGACTGAAACTTGCTACCAAACCTAAATGAAAAGCAAGAAGTTATGTCTCAGACCTCTGTTACCGCAAAATTTAGAAATTAACCCAAAAATCTGATAACCATTTTTATTAATGTTGCTCAGGAATCTATTCTCCCATCCCTTTATCTCCTGAAAGGAGAAAATTTAAACATGGAAAGGGGCAAAATTTTTAAAGGGGGAAGTCTGGAATTTGTGATAGAAATGTCACTGATGTTTTTCATGAATTTCATGTAACTGTAGCTAGAGATCCTTATTAAGATCCATGTCTTCTACCATCTACAATAAGAAAAAAGCCTGAGCCAGAAGATATATTCCATGTCTCTGTTCTCTTTAATATACAGATGGTGCTTGTGAAATAATTCTATCTGAGTGGACATCTTGTCTGAAGAGCTAAATAAAGTGCTGTCCTAGGTTTACTCACATGAGCATATTTGCTTTTTTGACATTATTAGAACAAAAATAAATTTTCTGGTTTGGCTTTGGATCTTTGCACACTCTTCTAAAATGAGAGGGAAGCAGTAAAAATGAAAATTGAAATAAAATAGTTCAAAGTCTGCTAGTGATCCTTGAAAAATGAAGTTTTTTAAGTTTTAATCCTGAAATTTGGGTTGTGTCTTCTCATGTCTGAAGCGCCTCAAATGCACCATGCATGTGACAATAGTCTTGGCTGCCTTCCAGTGAGACTGTCTTGCTATTAGATCTTAAAAGAAATTCTGTCTGCTCCACCTAGGACGAAAAAAACCCTCTCCCATCCCACCTCCATTTAATATTTGTCTTCCCACCTTTCTCTCTTGTGTCCTTCCAGCTCAAACCTCTCAGTGGCTGAAGACAATGGCCTTTCATCAGCCATCTTCATGGTGACACTTCTGGCAAGGCCCAAAGTTGACTCTCCACTTTGGGACATCCCTATTCCCACTTTAGTGGATTTAGGAATACAATCCCTATCAACCTCTAAGAGGATTTAGGCCTTCAAATCACTTTACCTTAAAAGAATTTAAGAGAACCTCCACTGAACATTGCAAAACTTGAACAATTTGCCCTTTTGGAAGGGACAGATGTGCTATGGGATTGTGTTGTGGAAAAGGAATGAGGTGTAAATACCAGCAGCCTCATTTACCTTCAGGGGCTTGAAATTCTAAACAAAGAGATGCCCAAAGACCACCAGAAAAAAAACTTGTATTCTTATCCATGTAGCTACAAATGCTCATTTCCCATTTTAATCTCTGTCCAGAGGATGAGGAGGCAGAAGGCATATAATTTCAATTAATCTGAGATCTGCAAGTATAAGGAGCTATAAAAGAGCTTATTATTATTTATTTCTCCAGGCATTTTACCCATGTACCATTAGAGATATACAGCTAAATGTGCCTTCTGTGTCAACGACAGTGGTCTGTGAAATAACAAACATTAAAAACCCATAGGAGAGGTTATCCTTTCATATCTGATGGAGGTTTCAGTAAAATGCTTGGGTGGTATTTCACCTGGATGCCAGAGAGCTGTGTACATCACACAGCTATACAGACTGCTGAGGCACCTCCAGTGCTGGGACAGCTCTGGGCCCCTCAGCACAGGAGAGACACCGAGGGGCTGGAGCGTGTCCAGGGCAGGGAACGGAGCTGGGGAAGGGGCTGGAGCCCCAGGAGCGGCAGGAGGAGAGGGAACGGCCTCAGGCTGGGCCAGGGGAGGGTCAGGTTGGACATCAGGGAAAATTCCTCCATGGAAAGGGTTGTCCAGCCCTGGCCCAGCTGCCCAAGGGCATTGGTGGAGTCCCTATCCCTGGAGGTCTTTAAAAGCTCTTTGGGTGTGGACCCTGGGGACATGGGTCACTGGTGGCCTTGGCAGTGCCAGGGGACTGGTTTGAATTGGAAATCCTGGAAATCTTTTTCAATCTAAACTCTTCTGTGATTCTCTGCATAACACGGGACATAGCTGGGTTTTGAAGATGACCCGCAACGCTGTCCACAGATGTATTCAGCACCTGAAGTGTCATCATCTCACTAGGGGTGGCAGCTCTTCCTTTCCTTATCCTCCTGCTGCCTCCACTGTGCTGTGGAATGCTCCTTGCTGGGGTTGCCATGCAGCAGTTCCATGGATCATCAGTGCCCCAGCACTTGGGTCCCCAGGCTGCCAAACCAGTGTCTGCTGGCCAGGGCTGGGTGGTTCCTGAAGAGCGGAGTCATGGAGATCACAGAATCACAAAATGAAAAAAAAAACCTCTTTGGAAGGGACATTTAAAGGCAGTCTAGTCCAAGTACCATGCAAGAAGCAGGAACATCTTTAACTAGATCAGGTAACTCAGAGCATTCTCCAGCCTGGTCCTGAGTGTTTCCAGAGCAGGGAAAACCACCAGCTCTCTGAGAAACCTCTGCTTGTGCCTCACCTCCTCAGTGTAAAACTACTAATGTCTCACCTGAATCTTTTCTCTTTTCATTTAAAACCATTTCCCACTGTCCTATCACTACATGCCCATGTCAAAGATCCCTCTCTGTTCTCCTGGAGCCCCTTTAGGCCCTGGCAGGAGCTCTGAAGTCTCCCTGGAGCCTTCTCTTGTGCAGGGGAGCAAGTCTTACTCTCTCAGCCTGCCTCCAGAGTGAGCTGTTCCAACAGAAAGTGCTGCTGAACCCCAAGCAGGGTGTGCTGAGACCTGGCAGGGTCCTTCAAATAGGGGCACTGGAGAAGAGAGGGAGGGTGCAGGAAGGTTGGGAAGCTCCTTGAGAAGCTCCTGAAGAAGGACACAAACATGTGATGGTGAGCATGGATGTCAGCAGCACCCCACACTTTACAGGAGTGACAGACAGAGTGATGGTTCATTCCTGAAGACTCACTGCACTGCTATTACAGTTGCTGCTGCTGCCACCCCTCATCATACTTTCCTGCCTCTGCACCCCTCACTCCTCTTTTTAATGATTAAATGACTGCATTTGGTAAAGGCATGATAGGAAAAAAAAAAAATTAATAGAGGCTCCTTCATCTCCTCCTGAGGGGGGACAATGGCACAGAGGCATCTGTGTGCATGTTTAATGGGTTCAATTTCCTTTCCCTGCCATGGTTTGGTGGCTGACAAGGGAATGCAGCAAGATGGTGGTTACTGCTGCTTTATTGAACGGGACTCCATGAACACCCACTTGGGCATAACACGAGCCGTGCCCAGGCTTCCCTCTCCTCAGCATCTGTGCACGTGGCCAAGGGCAAGCGCTTCTTTGAGAAGGATCATCCCCCCTTTTCTCTTCCCTCCCCCTCACCCCCTTCAAAGTAGCCCAACTGACACAAAGGATGCTGGCAAACTGGATGTGCTGGAAAAGCAGAGCTCCCGGAACGCCCCTTGGAGCGCCATAAACGTGTGTAGAAGGAAATTAATTGAATGCTGTGTATCGAAGGAAATAACAATAACAATAATCACGCACATCCCTAGCAACTAGACAGGGAAAAGATCTATGTGGTTCTTTCGCCTCTTCTCTGCCAAGGAGTGATTATTCTCTTCCCCAGTTAATCCCAGAGGCATCAGGCAGATATTTTGAAGAGAGAAGGTGTTTTTCCAAGGGCAAGTAGGGCAATGTCGGAAGAGGAGGCATGATCCTTTTGCACACTCCAAAGGGGATGAGGGAGGTCTCACTCTGGTGCTGATTACTAGATTCAGCAGTCCTGAGCCACAGTGACCATGAGGACCAGGATGGAGGATGGGACTCCATCATCTCATGTGGGCAGCACAACAGACAGAGCTGAAGAATCCTAAAATAATTTGGACTGGAAGGGACCTTTAAAGGCCACCCTGTCCAATCCCCTGCCATGAGCAGGGACAGCTCCTACTAGACCAGGTTGCTCAGATGCAAGGTTGGAGTGGCTGGCATGGACAGAGATCTCGTGCTGGTTCTCTGCACAGGGTATTTTTGAGGCCAGCAAGATTATTATTTTCTTTATAAGATAGTAAATTATTATTATTATCTTTGTAAGATAACTTTAGATGCCACATGCAAGCAGATTTTTGCCTGTTGGTTGAGCTGCTGTCCTCAAATTTGTTTTCTCAGGCAGAGACACCCAGTTTATACTGGGCTGTGAGTATAAACTCACAAGTTTACAAAACAAGAGGTGTCCCCAGAATCTAGGCAGGATTTGCAGCCACACATGGTTCTTCTCTCCTTGCTTTGCAGAATTCCATCTCCCTTCAGGACCCTAGACCAGCTTTGAGCTGAAACATCCCTGCCACAGGCAGGAGCTGATGAGTGGTCCTTCCACTCCTGGGGAGGGAAACCTTGAGGAAACTAATGGCCATAAGAGATTGTGGGGATAGCTTGGAAGAACTGTGCAGGTTGGGGATGGGATCTGATCTACAGGATGCCCTTCCAGCTGTGGCTCACACTGAGGTGTGGGAGGTGTCCAGCTAAAAAAGTGCCTGTGAGTTGGATGGACTAAATCCATCCCTTTCCTTGAAACCCTGACAGCTGCTTTGCCTCTCTTCACTATCACTCCCCATTTATAAAGAGCTGATGAGAATATGCTTCTGGTCTCTCACACCGAGGCTTCATTCATTAATAGTTACAAAAGGTTTTGAGATCCTCAGATGGCCAGTGTGAGAGAAGTAATTATTTATTAACAGCTTCTGTGAAGGTGTGGGCAGCCATATTACATCTCTCCAGGGTATTTAATTTAGGTGCTGAGCATTTATTGTGAGTCTGAGAAAGTAATTGCTGATCTGGGCAAGCGGGAGGTGAAAAGATTTATTTTTTTTTATTTTTTTATTTTTTGTATCTGAATGAGATGCCTATAAATGCAGATCATATTCTTTTACAGTGGAGATAAAGAGCTGATACCAAGGGACCAACAGTCCTTGAGACTTTTACAGAGGCTGAGATGTGTCTTTGTTCAACGCCCTGTTGGAGGGTGCCCAGGGATGGTTGGGGTGATGGAGGCAGGGGTGCCGTGCTGCATCCCGCGGGTGTTGGGAGGCTGGCAGCGGGCGAGCATCTCCTCACGAATTTCCCCTGGGCTGATGTTCACCTTGCCCTGGCCTCCCTGCAGGGGCTGACCCTGCTGCCCAAATCGTGCCCATGCCCTCCGCAGGTGTGTGGGGACAGCGCTCACCGCGCTCCCAGACGCGGCGGTAACACAGGGCCTTTGCCATTAAGCGCCTTCCGTCTCCTTTTCTTTTGTTAAAACCAAATGGAACAATGTAATTAGCTTGTTACAATTAAAGTGACTCGACTGGATAAATTGTAATCACCCAGACTGAAGTTAGGCATCCCTGCAGGTCCCGGCCAGAGCAGCTGAGCTGCCTCATTTGCATAATTAAAATATACAAATGATAATGGATTTTGTACTCAATTTCCAGCGGCTGTAAATTCGAGAAACTATGAAATTAGAATAACTGAGATGGAACCCGCCTTGAGGTAATGAGGATGACAAGTTTTGACAGTAGGGGTGTTTATAACACTAGTTTCTCGCTGCAAAATAAATAAGTACAAAAAAGATTAGACAGTGATATTACTTAATAGTTCCATGGACAGTGGGGAAAGGAGATAGACTGGTGATTACCTCTGCAAATTTACGCTGCCTTTTTGACAAGCTCACTCCTAACCTTAGGGGACACCTTTCTCCTGATTATGAGAAATTGAGAATGAATTAAATGCATAAAAAGGGTTGTCACGGATAGACAAACTAAAGGAAAAGAAATGAAATTAGTCTTGCCATTTTAGCTTGCCGCAGGAGGAGGGGGGAGAGGGAAGGGGAAAAGGCAGGGAGAGAGGTTTCAGTGCTCCTGCAAGGAGGAAATGAAGAGACTGAGTGGACCAGAACCAAGGCTGATTTCACAAGAAATGGAAAGTCCTTGGAACCCCAGGTAAAAACAGGAGAGAAAATAAAATAAAATAAAATAAAATAAAATAAAATAAAATAAAATAAAATAAAAAAAAAAAAAAAAAAAAAAAAAAAAAAAAAAAAAAAAAGAGGTAGAAAATTACTTGTGCAGGGAAGCTACAGGTTCAGTCTGGCAAGGAATTGTGGTTTTCTATGAATGGCTTTGGGGTTTTTTTGGTAGTTTTTTTGTTTTTTGTTTTTTTGGTTTTTTTTTGTTGGTTGGTTTTTTGGTTGTTTTTTGTTGTTGTTGTTTGGTTGGTCAGTTTTGGTTTTTTTTAACATTTCTCAGCAGATATTTCCTGCCTCCATTTTTAGGCTTTTAGATCTCCTGAGAACCTGTCAGAGCTGGAAATCTGGGCTGAGCCAGGAGTGGGCATGTTGCCTGGCATTTCTGAGTTCTCTTAACCTACACATCCAAAATAGCAGCGGTTTTATTAATATACACTTGTCCAAAACAATTTTGTCCAAAATTATTCTGCAAAGCCAAGTAAAAAAATGATGGTTTCTGTTGTCCTCAACTTTTCCACTTAGTCCAAAATAATTAATTAACTATTGAATGTAGTGGAAAATGCTTTTTTTGTAATTTTTCTCTCTTTCAGTAGGACATTCAGCAGCCTAAAGAAAACTGAACCTGTTAGGAGCAAGTGTTGAGCAGAAGATCTCCCTGGAATGGTGTGAGAGTGAGGAGCAGAGGGTTGGAGCCAAGACTTGTTCTGGTGAGCAGGATTTACCTGCTAGCAGCTTCTGTGAACAGATCCTAGGATATGCTGATTTTGCTTTTAATTCACCCCTTTTTTGCTCTGGTAGGAACTACACTGGTCAGCTCAGATGGAAATTCCAATCCCATAAATGTCTGGATCTTCCAGGTGGTTAAAAACAGGCATTTTTTTTGTTCTGGAATGAGGAAATTGATTAGGGATTGGTTGAAGGAAAGCTGGCATAATGCTGGTGCTGTCTCCCTACTCCAGGATCCTATGGATCCCATGCTCAAAAGCTTATAAATCCTCTGTACTCCAGTGAAATTCTAATAATGTCACTGATGACAGTGACATTTCAGAAGCCTGAAATGAAGGAGGTGGAAGAAGATGAAGGGAGGTGAGAGTGATGGGAAAGGAGGAGAAAGAGGGAGAAAGCACAAGGGTAAATAAGGTAAGCAGGGAAGGCAAGAGGTACCCAAAAAGCAAAGAGTGCAGAGGTGCTGAGAGAGATGGGCTGGGGCTGGGGGACTGCAGAGGGTCCCATCCCCAACCATAAGTAGCAGCAGGAGCACTTTCTCACCCTGCATGGAAATATTTTCACAGAAACTCTGTCTCCCTCTTCTTGCACACAGCCATGGGTCAAAACAGTGTGGTGCTCTATATTTATCTTTTGAATATCACCTGAATTAATCCTGCTGTCCTCCAAAGAGTGCTGCTTGCTTTCAGACCCGTTGGGTACAACTTTCTTTCCTCTCTTCCCTTTTTCCTAGCTTTCAGTGTGTTTGCAGTTCAGGTACAGCCGTCATTTACATTTTATAGTTTTCTTTACAGCATCTTGTTATTGCGTTATCTGTTAAAGAATGTATTTTTAATGTGTTTTATAGCATGCTTTATAAATAAGTTATTAAAGAATGTACCTGCAGCTAGTGATCACTTAATAAATATTAATAAAGCAATTCCAGATGAGGCCATTATTAGGAGTGCTGCAGAACACCCTTGCTACCTCGAAAGAGTTTCTGTGCTGGTTACCAAAAAGTTCACGAGAGTTAAGAAGCAGAGATGGGAAGGATCAGGGTGCCCAGAGAAGCTGTGGCTGCCTCATCCCCAGAAGTGTTCCAGGCCAGGTTGGACAAGGCTTGGAGCAACCTGGGGTAGTGGAATGTGACTTGGAACAAAATGATATTCCGTGTGCTTTCGAACTGAAACCATTCTGGGATTCCAAGATTCTGTGAAGGGCTCATTTTGCAATGTCCTTCTCCCCCTTAACTCCAGACTGACATGTTTTTTTGTTTTGTAGCAGTTTTATGCTTTTTTTTGTTTTTTTGGTTTGTTTGGGTTTTTTGTTTGGTTGGGTTTGGGGGGTTTTTGTTTGTTTGTTGTTTTTATTTTGGTTTGAGGTTTTGTTTGTTTGTTTGTTTTGTGGTTTTTGTTTTGTTTTTTTAATGAAATACCAATAGCAAGTATTGATGAAGTACCAATAGCAGATATTAAGAAGGGGAAGGTAAAAAAAGAGAAAGGGACTCTGAAGATATAGCTGGTTTGTGTCCATTACAAGTGAGGAACACAGAGATGGCTTTGCAGGACGTTATCTCACTTCACTGGCTTTTCCACATCTGACTAAAATGTTATCTTAATACTAAGAAATAGTCCATTGTATTCTTCCATATGACTGAATCTGTATTTTTTGATAGCCAGTAGACAAAGTCCTATGGTAAATATGGTCATTGCCTTCTATTTTGCAAATCTATTTTAGTTCTAGCTAGAGGACACTTACCAGCATCCATGGGTGGGTGATCTGATGACAGACAAGGGCCTTTTGTGTGGGGAGTAAAGCACCTAAATCCAGGCAATTCACAAGATTATTTACTGTAAATAAAGAATTTGAAATTTTATAAACTCAGCTTGCACAGGGTCAGTAGGATTGTGAGCCAGCGGGAGGTTTGATATTAGGGAAAACATCTTCAAAAAGGGCTGTCCAGCCCTGGCACAGCTGTCCACGGCAGTGGTGGAGACACAATCCCCTCCCTGGAGGGATTTAAAAGCCATGTGGATGTGACACCTGGGGGCATGGATCACTGGTGGCCTTGGCTGTGCTGGGGGAATGGTTGGACTTCAAGGTCTTTTCCAGCCTAAATGATTCCATGACTCTGTGAGTCCTAAGAACTTCAGATCACTCATCATAGTTCTTATCCATGATCCTGTTCTAGGCTGCCTTCTGGAGCAGCAGACCTCTGACAATCACCTCTGCCAGTCATTGGCATCTGCCATGTCTTTTTTCCATGTGGTGCCACAGTTCATTGTGACCATTGTGGATATATTTGTTTCTCCATTAACATCCACCTCCTTCTTTAATCACATGGAAGCTTCCTCCCACCCTCATTTCCTTGCCCTACTCCATGGCCCTTTTTCAGATCCGTGTTTCCAGCAGATCAGAGATGCTCCCAAAGGAAAGAAAGTGCTTCATGAGGGAAGAGGCAGCAAAGCTGGCTTCCTCCTTCCACCTCCCCTTTTCTGCTCTCATTAGGGGCCAGGTACCCTCCTCCCAAAGCCCAGAAAGCAAAGGATAGGTTTGAAACTTCCCTCCTCTCTCTGCAGCTCCCATAATTGCCTTTGACACTGTTTATCATCTGTGATAATACAGCTGTGCCCTGTTACCTCCAGCTGCCCTAATTCGTGTTATCAGTCTGGCACCAGGGAGAGGGAGGTGAGAGGTACAGAGGAGAGGTGAAGCCATTACAGAGCTGACAGGGCAGTGAGAATGGAGGGTGGTGATGGACTAGCCATCACTTGACCTGAATGCAAACATACATCCTATTGGATTGACCTTTCCCTGAGAGTAATGGATCTCCTCGTGCATCATTTTTGCTACATTGCTGGCCATTCCAAGGAGATGGTTTCTGGTAATTAAGATAGATCCCTCATATAATCCACCCACAGCGACAATCAATAGGCGCCTCCAGAGGGATATTTCCAGATTATTGCTATGTCAGCGCAACTTGTGGGAGCTTTGTAGATCTTACAGTGAGGAGCATGACCAGGAAAGCAACACAGGGGCGATTTCTGGGGAGGCAAAGGGTTTTCAGGAGCCATGCAGGGTGTTTGCAGCTGCACATGGGTCACTGTGCCCACTCTTGTTTGGGATGGCAAACACGTAAGAATTATGAACCCCAATACAGCTGTAAGGAAATGTCAGTGCAGAAACTCTGCAGTCCTACATGAACACAAGCCTGTAATAAGCAGACTCAGAATGGAATGACTGCAGCAGGGTGCTGAGGTGGCCTCTGGTGCCATCCTGGCTTGTATCTGCCACAGTGGGGCCAGCAGGACCAGGGAAGTGATTGGAAGTGATTGTCCTTTTAAACTGCATGAGGCTGCACCTTGAGTTCTGGTTTCAGTTTTGGACCCCTCAAAACAAGAAAGACATTGAGAGGCTGGTATGTGTCCAGGGAAGGGAATAGGGCTTGGGAAGGCTTACTAGAGAGTAAATCATTAAGGAGTGGCTGAGAGAACTTTCTGGCTCTGCACAAGTCCCTGCCAGGAGGGGACAGCTAGGTGGGGTCGGGCTGTGCTGACAGGGAACAGGGACAGGAGGAGAGGGAACAGCCTCAGGGGAGGCTCAGGTTGGGCATTGGGAGGAATTTTTTCATGGAAAGTGTGGTCAGACCTTGTCAAGGTCTGCCCATAGTGGTGTTGGAGTCCCCATCCCTGTAGATGTCCAAGGAATGCCTGGATGTGGCACTCAGTGCTCAGGCCTGGGTGACAAGGTGGGGATCAGTCACAGGTTGGACTCCAGCTTGGAGGTCTTTTCCAACTTTAAACTTCCTCTGATTGTATAAATCAAACTCGTTCTCTCACTCTTCTCAGTTGAGGAGGTGCTTTCCTGCTCATGCTTCTTCCTTTTTTATGTGTTGTTTTGAGTACCCATAAAGCAGGGAACAAAGCTCCCTGCACTGTACACAGGTACAAGGCTACATGTAGTGGCACTTGCAAAGGTGGAACTGGGAAAAAAATCTTTGTTTTCATTTGAAAATTGAGCATGTTTGATGGAGGTGTCCTCCCAGGAGTGCACATCAGAGGAGGATACAAGTGCCTCTTGCTCCTCTTGATTCAGCCACTTCTCTAGATGTTAACCAAATACAACAGTGTCTTCAAATTCCAAATATGGACCTAGAAATGAAACCCCTGCATGCTGCCATTGTACAAAGCAAGAAGCTACCCAGCTTCTGCTGCCCCCACCCCATTTGTGCTGCCCCCTTTGGTGGTACAAAGTCTGTCAGTGGAATGAGGAAATTCAGAATGTTGAGTGTGGTTCAATTCCCTGGTACTTTATCCAGCTATGCGAGGACACTCCCCTGGAGCTTAAGTCTATTAGAATTTAAGAAAAGACCTGAGAGCTATGGAGTCTCTGCATTGCACCCTTGAATCACCCATCAGTCCTTGATCTTCTTGAGAATGTCTTTTTGCTCCTTTTTGACTCCTTTTGAGCAGGTCTGGCTATATATTCATACCCCACCATGGAGCCTAGAAGAGAAATACTAATTCTAAAGGAACATTCTGAGATACCAAAATGCCAGCGATGGTAATACATAGCATATTTTATGGAGTCTCACACTGTGCATCATTTGCTGCAAGAAATGACAGTAAAATACATATTTTTGAATATTGGGTCTTCTCCAGTACCTTTTTGTGGGGTTCGGTAGCCCATCAAGTTGGTAAGACACATCAGCAGCATTGGTGTTTTGGAACTCCAGAGTGAGGGCTGGCTTTGCAGCTCCTGAATCATGTGGTAAAACCCCTGCTGATGACAAGAGGCTCTGAAATTTATTCCCTTAGTCATATTGATCTAAGAAATGCAGCCAAACACGAGTTGGGATATGCGCTTTAAAAATGTCAAGGGGAAATTATTTCAAGCTCTGAATATATATGAAGTTAATAACTTGCCTCTTCCCATTTCCCTTTTTAGCTTTCATTCTGGATTGCTGACCTGATTTTCCAGAAAGGGATATTTGGTGGGTCAGTGGTAGGCAGGGATGAAAATGATTCCTTGTTCAGAGCCCATTTTTTGCCACCACAGCCTGGTCTTGCAAAGTCCTCTGAGGGCTTCTGGGCTGAGAGGAAACCTCCAGAGTGTGACTTTTTTTCTCTTACTGAGTGTTTCACATTTACCTGATGCACATTTTTCATCTGAGTCTTCTTCTAATTTGTCTTCATTCTGGATATAATAGGATCTTCAGATGTTCTGGTAAAAGGGAAATGTAGGAACACCCTCTTTCAAGAAAAAATCTCTTATGGAGGACCTCAACCTTTGAATTACATTCCAAACATTGAGACATACTCGCTCATCTCCAGGTTTTGTTCTTTATGTTTCCATGAATTTATGGAACACTTCTGCTCTTTGTCCCTCCTAATCTTTTAAATCAGCTTTACATACCTTCCATGGCCAGTTTGATCTTCACGGCTTTTCATGTTGTGGGTTTTTTCGTTGCCTTTTTTTTTTTCATTATAGCTTTCCATTTCACGTTAGCACATAAAGAAAAATGCATTTTATTGGAATAGCTATGTCACAGCAGAGATTATTTTTTCTCCCTGTGGATGAAACCAGATACTGTTTTTCATGTGGCTCATGTTATAACAATCTCACTCTGGCTGTATGGCCAAAACCTAATTGTAGTATTTTGAGAGGAAATTCTTATTATTTAAATGCAGTTTCACCCGTGATACATTTTAGAGCTATAAAAGAACATTAACTGGTTCTTATTTTATTTGTTTCATAATACTAAGGGTTTATATGAATTGATAAAGCTCTTAAAAAGTCGATCATATTTGTACCTCTCCACACTACTGTGTGCAAAATTTGTAAATAATAATAAAAAGAGATCTGTCCACCACTCAGCCAATGTAATATCTTTTTTAAAAGGTATGGGTGCTTCTCTGATGGGACTTAAGAAAAATAATCTGATGGGTGATTTCTCTTAGGCCAAATCAGCACTGTCCCTTTGGGGACAGGGAGGCAAACGCTACCCCAGCAGAGGTGCGTGGCATTCAATATAGAGAAGTCTTGAACTTCCATTTGGGCAAAGATATGCAGTACCAAAACACAGCTACTTTGGAGGAAGCAGGTGACTGAAGTTTTTATGGAGTAACTCAAGAGTTTTTGAGACTTCCAAGTCTCCAAATTATTTCCCACCCCCCACCCCCCCTGCCCCCTCGATAATTTTCAAAGAGTTGTAGACTGGTTTAGGTTGGAAGGGATCTTAAAATCTCATCTCATCTCATTCCAACCCCCTGCCATGGGCAGGGCCACCTTCCAGTGTCCCAGGCTGCTGCAAGCCCTGTCCAGCCTGGCCTTGGACACTTCCAGGGATGCAGGGGCAGCCCCAGCTGCTCTGGGCACCCTGTGCCAGGGCCTGCCCACCCTCCCAGCCAGCAATTCCTTGCCAATATCCCAGCTGGGCCTGCCCTCTGGCACTGGGAAGCTGTTTCCCTTATCCTGTCATTCCAGGTCCTTGCAAATGGTCCCCTCTGTTTTTCTTGTCAACTCCTTCAGGTCCTGGAAGGTCACAATTAGGTCACCTTGGATCTTCTTTACTTCAGGCTGGAAGATCCCATTTCTCTCAGCCTTTCCTTATAAACAGAAGTGCTCCAGCCCTCTGATCATATTGATTTCCATGTGAGAAACTGCTTCCAGCTCACCTGGGTGCAGGATTGGTAGCTCCCCACTAATTCCTGGTTCAGTGTCACAAACTCACTGGTCTGCCATCACAGGCTATTGGCAGCAGGTACCAGACCATCAGACCCACCATAAGGATGGGCCTTGGAACAAATCCCCTAAATATTCTGAGATTCATTTAATCTGATCTTAAAAATAATTCCTAGTAAACAGAAGACAATGAATATCTTCAGATCTCGAGACACCTTTAGTATGTATGTGTATGTGTGATTGTGGATTAATATCTTTCTGAGCTCCAGTGAAAGGGGCCATTATAAAAATGAGGTTGGCTAAGATGATTAAACATTATTTACAGAAAAGACATGGGTCTGATTAAATCATGGGAAGGGGGGGTCTGTTTTATGGTGACAGGAAAAAATACACATCATTCAATAGAGGTGCTTGCTTCATTTCAGTAATTAGAGACTAAAGCAACTTGGACAGTCTGTCAGCTCCAATATCGTGGCATTAACTAGTAGATCATGTAAATAAAAGCTGTGTGATTAGATCAAAAATTAAAAGCCTGTAATTTTTCCTGTTACCTTGCAGTTTATTATTGAGGTCTGTTGAAATGCTCTCACCAAGCACACACCTCCAAGACTAATTATTTATAGGGCTGCATTTTTTAAAACTCCTTTAATAGTTCCCCCTCTAGAATCCAGTTAAGTGACCAAATTTTGGGAGGCTCTTGTTAGACAGCTCCACAAAGAGATCTCATGGTGGCAGAGCTCAGAATCTGAGGTTCCTATAAGCTGCTCTTTTCAAAATCAGACCCTAAAAATTTCTGCTATAAATATTTTTTTTTTACCTAGTCTTGGGTCCAGGTTTATTTTATTAGTGTGGGCAAGAGAGAAAGAGATTTCAGTGCTTTTCCAATAAACTCCTTGGCATGACAGAGGTATAAAATGCAGCCAATCCCATCTTCTATGCATCCTGCCCAAGGTTTGGGCTACGCTGGAATCATACTGAAATGCAGAACTGGGTGAGTGAGACTGGAAGTCCTTGTCAGGCACCTTACTGAGGGTAAGTGTTAGCAAATTATGGGAACTACAAAGGGAGGAGGAACCTTTAAATAACCAAGTGTTCATAGAACCATAGAATGGTTTGAGTTGGAAAGCCTCTTTTAGATGTCATTTATTAAACACCTTCTTTTCCCAGGGTAATTTCTTCCTGGAGGACACCTGACTATTTCTGGGGGCCTCAGAGCTAAACTATTGCTGGGGTATGGAGACAAACAAGAAATCTGTTTCATCCTTCCATAGATGGTAAGAGCAGGTAGGGAAAAATGCACTCAAATAGGACCCATTTCTCTTGCCCAGCCAGCAGGGCCGTGGCCACCCATGGGCAAGGAGCTCTCTGCATCTCCAGGTGTACAGTCACTGTATTGCCTGGTGAAGTTAATTTTCTGCAGCAGCACATTTTTTTGAAACTCACCGAGTGTGGCCCTCTGTCACTGTGATTGTGCCACCCTTGGTAGTCTTCTGCTGTGGACAGCCACAGCTCTGTGCTTGGATCCAGCACCAGCATCACCAGCCCAAGACTGATGTGGTTCCACAAGTGTGATCTGGACAGAATCCAACTTCCTGCAGTCAGCACAACCTGAGGTGGGCAGGATACAGCTGGATACAGCTGCCTGGTCTTCCAGGGCTTTCTGGCCCTTGGGAAAGGTTGCAAAAAACAAACAGGTATTTGGGGTCTCTATCAGGGAGGTCTGTTGGGATGACACCTCTGACTCTTTCCAAAGGGATAAAAAGCTTTTCCAGTGGTTTTATATTTACAGTTGCCACACTAAAACTGTTGCCTGTTTGCACTTCCTTTTGGGCATGTTCTTAATGTCTGTTTAATCAATACCTGAAGCACTGAATTTGTCTGCACTGTGCTTCCAGAACAAGCGTGGATATTGGCAATGGGGAGATGCGAGGCAGGTGTGTGCCTCTCTGTCATCAGGGAGTTCATACCAGCTACTTTTTATCTTGCTTTTTTCTCCCTTACATGGCACATAGAGGAATTTTGAATAAGTTGATGAGGTTTAGTGGTCTCCTGTGATGCAACGAGGTACTTCTTCAAACCCATAAAAAACGAAATGGGATTAAAAACACCATTTTAGCAATACCACTCCTGGCAGTGGCACAAGTTCCTTGCTTTCCAGGACACTTTTGTTATTTTTTATTTATTATGCATACTGTAATTCCATCTAAAAGTGCCATTTGGAGACCGCTGCAGAAAGTGCCATGCGTGAGCGCATATCAAAATAGCCGCTTGTTTCGGCGAATAAACCTTAAACACTTTTTCCCACTTGTAAATTTCACTGCCGTTTCCACCGCGCTTTCCCCTCGGACGTGGCACTGACTCAAAAAACACTATTAAAATTTATTAATATATTTATCTATCTATCTATCTATCTATCTATCTATCTATCTATCTATTTATTTTTTTATTTATTTACTTATTTATTTATTTTATTTATTTTATTTATTTATTTATTGCATTTATTTATTTATTTATTTATTTATTTATTTAAATGTGTGTGGGGTTTGGGGGGTTTTTTTTGTGGTTTTTTTTTTTTGTTGTTTGTTTGGTTTTTTTGTTTGTTTTTTGGTGGGGTGTTTTGTTTTTTGTTTTTTTTTCCCCTAAATGCGAATTGCCTGTTTCATCCCTGGTGGGAATGGAGGGGCTGCTCCTGCCCCCCCCCCGCCGATGGGATGCAGAGCACGGGGAGCCCTGCAGGAACCGCGGATCCACCCCCGGCCGCCCCCGGAGAGAGGGAGGCGGTGAGATCCATCTGTCCTGCCTCCCCCGGGCTGTTCCTGGCAGAGGGAGCAGCAGAGACCAGCAGAGGAAGCGTTTTGCTAATTCGTGTCGCCAGTAGGTAGATCCGAGTACCAGGCTGGGCTAGACTGGTACAGCAGGATGAAAAAAGGCAGAATTTGCGCGGAAAAAAGATGCCAGGCAGAAACCTGGATATAGGTATTACAAATTTACCCAGTGTTTACATGTTAATTGTACTTATTCTTCTTCCTATGTGCGCAGCTGTTGGTTAGGACTCTTCCACCTTTGTTTTATCCTACTTGAGTCCCCAAGAGAAACCCATGTGAGGACAACAAGCATGAAAGCACAGGAAGAAGTCAAAAAAAAGCACTCCCTCTATTCACATCAATGCCAAGTTATCTCCACATATCCAGAGCCCACACAAGCATGTGGAAAATTGCTTTCTCATACCCTGAATTCTTTTTCTATGGAAAGTAAAAGTAAGGGGAAATTTTATATTCCATTGAGTGACAAACTTGCTTTGCTACTTGAGTCTGACACTGCCAGTGCTTCCAAAGCTCTGTAGTGAATAACTTTGGTTGTGTTTAGGGATGCTGTGTGCAAGGCAACTTGAGATACAGGTTTGGACCTGACTTTTGGGTTTATTTTAGGTGAGAAGGTGAAGTCCATGGTATTACGAACTGGGGTATGCACTTCTCCAAATAACAGAGCCCCACTACAGTGCTGTGTAACCCCTTCATCTCTCCATTAGGTCAATATCACAAAATAATGGAATCATTTAGGTTGGAGGAGACTTCCAGGTTTACCAAGTCCAACCATTCCCCAGCACTGCCAATGCCACCACTGACCCATGTCCCCAGGAGCCACATCCACACAGTTTTTAAATCTCTTCAGGGATGGGGACACCACCACTGCCCTCAACAGCTGTGCCAGGGATGGACAGCCCTTTTCCATGAAGGAATTTTACCAATATCCAATCTAAACCACAGACCAGTTCCCAGCCACTCTGCCTCAGCCTGTAGAGCCACCAGGGGTTGTAGTGAACCTGCAAAGTAACTAAATTTCTTCTTTCAGCCAGGTCTGTCTCTGGCTCCCATGGGCTTGCTGTAGCTATTTACTTCACCTTAAAATTGCCACTTAATCTCCATGCTGTTGTTTCCCCACTGGTGAGATGAGAACAGCACCAATGATCTGTTAATGTTTCTAACGAAAGGGAGGAAAGCGCTGAGTGTAATTTTAATAAATGGCAGTGTGAAAGTTTTCTCTGCTCCACTGCTTTCTCTCGCAGATGATATAAACCACACAAACTATCTGCTCTCCTCCTAACACCCCCTTCACTCCAGTGGAGTTAATGTGATTTAATGCACTTACCATCCTGGCAGTTACGATTTAAGTGGCGCCTTCTCGATTGCAAATGATAACCTTTTAATGACATTTCCCCCAATGTGTGGGTGACTGCAGCTCCCCTGGCAGCCCCCTTTCTCCTCTGGGACAAGAGAGCCCAGACCCTGCCTCAACTAAGCTGAGCCCTGTGGCTCTAATAAGCCCTACTGACAGAAGGTGCACATCCCACCAGGAATGCTTTTCCTGCCTAGGTTTGAATTCCGTGGCTGAATTTGCAGCCCAGGCTCTGGGAATGGGGTTGCTGCCCTTCAGCGCTGTCTGCCAGAGGATGTTTAGCTGTGTTAGCTGGCTCTGTGCTGTGCAGAGGGCTTTTCTCCTTCTGCTGCTGTTACAGTTGGCACCATTAAACTCTCGGTGCTCACTGCCTGGGGATGTGCAATTATTGTGGAGCCTTCTCCTAGTTACAGTAGGAGACACCGCGTTACCGCAGTCACTACGGAGTGACAAATGAGCTTTTAATGACACCTACTCTACCTGGAATTATCTGTAAACTACAATTAAGGAAGTAGCTACTCAAGGAATTAAAGATCAGAGGAAAAATGACATGCTTTTATGGTGACTTATGGGAAGATCTGCAAATTTGAGATCGTTTTCCGCGGAACAGGTTGAGAGATGCAACAGAATGCAACAACTTTAAATGATCTCTTCTCCACCATCGCTGCAGAATGCTGCTGCAGTGCTTCTCAGCCTACATTTCAGCTGAAGCAACTCTGCAGGAGTCAGTCATCTCCAGAACTGGCTGGCCAGTAGGTACAGCTGGTTTTGAAAGACCGGTGTGAATTTTGGTGGATTGGTTAATTCGGAAGGCTCTGCCAGGGTCTGACTCTTCAGACATTTCCAAGGGGCCCTAAAAAGAAATATGGTCAGGCTGCAGGAGCAAGACCAAATTAGTGAGAGTTAATTAGCAGGAGATTTAAAGTGTCTGGGGCAACCTGCTACTTATTTCAGGGGTCCCAAAACTGAAAGGTACCCAGTGCAGTGGAAGTGTGACCCTGGATCAGATATTGTCTTGTGGTAGACAGGACATCTGTGGCCTTCCCTCAGAAGCATGCCCTTGTAGAGAAGTTGTCCCACTGTTTTGAAAGAGGATGAAAGAACTGAAGAAGAGCAAATCAGAATAAAAATCACAAAATCATAGAACCACTTAAGTTGTGAGAGACCTACGAGATCACTGACTCCAACCATTAGACTACCAAGTCCAACCTTCAATATATAGTATAAAAGTATATAATTTACCACGTCTGTCTTCAGACAAATATGCTGGAATCACAGGGGTTAAACAAACTCCCCTAGTATTTCACCCTAAAAAGGCATCCAGCTGTGGATCCACATTGAAAATTATCGACTGTCTTTGAGGCAGTTTTATCATGGGAATCACTCTGATAGTGAATCTCCAGAGCATGACCCAGGCAAAAGTTACCAAGTATTAAAAATAGAATTACACTAAGCAATGCCTTTTTGCTTAGTCATCTTTCCTTTTCTGTGGTATTTTATTATTGCTATTCCAATGTGCTGGTTATTGAGTATATGATTATTCTTTCAAATGAGTTTGGACAGCGTCTATAGCTTTGTAGCAATTAAGAGGCCGCAGACTTTAGCAGCTCAGGAGAAATGGAATAGGTTTTAATAGCTTTATTTATCTTTAGCTTCTGCAGAGCTGTTTGTACTTCCTCAATGGTGGGCAGTTTTGTATCAATAAAAGGATGCTGGAACTTATTTCTTGTAAATGCAAGTAGGTCATTATCAATGGCATGGGGAGCCTTGCACAGGGCTCGAGAGAGACGCTTTCTCTCTTAACTCTGTCATCAATTACAAGTCTGCCAATGAATCTTGGAAAATGTGAACAAAAGCATTTTATGACCTGCCTCAGTAAAAGTCTGGCAGGCTGCAGTGCTTCCTTGCTGCTGCTAATTGTCTTCCTCACAGTGCCTGCTGCCAGCTTTAATGCCCAACGCCTCCATTTACCTGAGGCCAATGGAGTGAATCCTGGCCAGGTAGCTGGTGCTGTTAACTTTTTTAGTTAACTTTATAATCATCTAATAATTAAGTTAGCTCTC